GGGGGGGGGGGGTATAGTAGAGGGGGGTAGTAGTTGAGCCCATGAAGGAACCCAAGCAATCAACTTTAGTCCTAAATCCGAAGCCATACTCACCCTAGGTCCCGCGAAGCTCAAAGCCTCACCAAAAACCACGGCCCCTAAACCCTAAACCCCTAAACCCTAAACCCCAAACCCTAAACCCCAAACCCTAAACCCCTAAACCCTAAACCCCAAACCCTAAACCCCAACCAATCCCTAAACCCTAAACCCTAAATCCCAACACGTCCATCCCCATGACCCTGAGTTCGCAACGCTTTCCCTGTCGAGGGAGCTTCGGCAGGATGCATTGAATGCAACCTGAACTCAGGAGCGACATGAAGCTGGGCTTAGGGTTTAGGGTTTAGAGGTTTAGGGGTGTAGGGTTTTTAGGGTTTAGGGGTTTAGGGGTGTAGGGTTTTTTAGGAATTAGGGGTTTGGGGTTTAGGATCTAGGGTTCAGGGGTTTGAGGGTAAGGGTATAGTAAGTCCCATGTAATTAATGGACCTGGATTCTTACTAGGGATATATGACGGAGTATACGTAACTACCAATGGGACCCCTATGTCCACCCTTAATGGTCCCTTGGCTAGCCGAATATTGAGGGTAGCTCAATATGTTCCTATATAACCCCCTCCTTTAAGGAGTTTAGACTATGGCTCAATAGAGTTAGGGGAGTCCTAGAATCTTGTAATTCCATGAACACGGAAATCAAACGGACCATACCATGGAAACTGGGATTCTGTAGGAAGCATGAAATTCATAAGGTAGAATGATTTGGTGTTGGGGCTATATTCTGCTATCATTTCGTGATGGTTATAGGATTTCTTGTGACACTTACCCAGAGATTTACACTGCGAGGTGTTATGACGAGGTGCTTTAACCAAGTAAGATCTTGCTTTAACTGAGATCTGGGTTTGAGATTTAGGTGGTTGAAAGATGTCTGATTACATCCTTTTCTGTAGGATGCCACACTCAAACAGAGAACATTGACAAGACTTTATGATTGTTCTGATGCCCTCATGTAAAAGCCTACTTCAGTAGGTTTACATGGCTTGGAAGATTCGGGGGTGAGGGCGACGGGATTCACGTCGAGACATTAGGGTTAGCTGGGGTAGGTTTGGGGGGGTGCCCTACTGATTTATAAGGACTGTATAAGGAATACGAGTAGTAAAAATTAAGAAAATATCTTCAAACCCATCCCTGCTAAGCTGTTGGGCACTAAGGGCTTACAAATGCAAGGCTTAGGGATGGGGGTACAGCACCGGAAACTTACACCATTGAAAATGGCATAGATAGAAATGAAGGTGTCAGGGACATCATAGTTCTCATACAAAGAATACAGTCATCTAAGGCTTCCATTTCCGGGAACAGCGCTACTCTGTCTTCGAAGTTTCTGAAAAGCAGGGTAGCTTATGGGATGTGAATCGTATGCAGAGGATCATAGGCGTGCTTCTCAAGTCAACTACCGCGGTCCGTTTAAGTACGATGATACTACAACATACACATACCTGTATATGTCTCTATACATACACACACACACACATATATATATATATACATACACATGTACATACAAACAAAGGCATGACAAGCTTCCTTCTCTGGATGTCACCATGTGCGCCTCGAATCTTGTCAGCGACAACAGGGACGTTTTCGCAACACTGTCAGGTGGTCAGCCAAGGTCGGCAACATGCCAAGCTGGTCATACAAATGCATCGAGCAATGTAAACCCTAAACTGGGTAGGTAGGTAAGTAGGTAGGTAGGTAGGTAGGTAGGGGGAGTCTGGGTCATCTGGGAAATTCACGTGCCCTTAACGGCCCCCGATTAAGAGCATAATCACGGACCCCGCAGAAGGGCATGATAGTCGTTCTCCCCCTGAAAACGGTGCCCTTCTCCCGGGGCCATGATTATCCTCTTAATTTGGGCCCCTTGCAGGTAAATAATCAGGTGCCGGAACCCAGGGCACCCGGGTTGCCGTTTCTTTGCAGGGGCTTCAGGTCAGCTGCTGACCGTCTAGGGCTGCCGCAGTGACGGTTATAACCAGGCAGGGTTAAGGCGACAACGAAGCTGCCATGAAGGGCGTAATGGAGCACCACTTGGAGGGTCATGGGGACTTAGTAAGTAGGTTAATAACCCCTATAAGCCGTATAACAAAACCCAATAATACCCCTTATTAACCCACTTACTAAGGCCCCATGACCCTCCAAGCATGAAGGGCGGAATAATCCATGATGCAGTTGAGGGTATAATCACGCAGGGTTGAGGGCCGGTAGAACTGTCTTGCAAAGATACAACATCATACAGAAGACTTTCAAATGTTAGTCGATGCAACCTTCCACAGTAGAAGTAGCAGCGGAGAGTGCCCACAGTGCTCAGAATCTTGGTCAAACAGATGAAGACGTCTAATGTAGACCCGTGATGAATAACCCCCCTCCTTGTTAAGGGTCTAGATATTAGGATCCCTACTATAGTCCTTATCAGGGGGAGGGGGTTTGTTAATCAGGGGTCTACATTAGACCTAACACCCCAATTTTTACCCTATAACCCCTATGTAACCCATTATAATACTTTCCGTTTTCTCTTCCATTATCCCTACAAGCCCTGTATAACCCCCAAATACTTTAAACCCTAAACCCTCAACCCTAAACACCAAGGCGGGAACCACTCCTGGACATCTCTTTGGTAAACTTCTGCATCTTGGTGATGCCAAACCTTGGGTTGCAGGGTTTAGGGTTTGGGGTTTGGGATGCTTGGCGTTGGATTTTGAGCGGCCCTGAAGCCCTCAATGCCCCGTGATCCCTAAGGGTCCATGTACCCAATAATTAGGTACTTGGGTTTTTGGTAATAGTAATTATAGTACTGGTTTTGGGTAAGTATATGATTATTAGGTACTTGGACCCTTAGGGGATTTATTCAAGAAGGTTCCGTCACTAATATCGTGATCCGTGCTCAGATTTGAACACTGTTCATTCAGAAGGGTTGGAGGTCCGGCGCAATTTTTTGGGGTGTGTTCAGGGAAGCGTGGGTAATCCTCTGCCGGGTTGGGCCACCGGCTGCCATTTGGACTACCAAGATTGCCAGACAAGGCCCACTTTACTCAGATCCCCCAACCTTTTGAAAAGCTATCGTTTTCAGTTTAGGGCGTGGCCAAATTTCTGAGTACCCAAAAGCTGAAATTTTGGCATGTTGATAGAAGCAAGGTTGTGGATGTGTGCATATACAACATGATGGTTAATTTGGTATATGGGCCCTTATAGTAGCCGACATGGACTCACTTGCAGCTGCGATTTTCACACAGTTCTGAGTATGGAGTATCGCACTCAATCAAGGTTCTCTGTTGGTTCACGGAACGACCTGGTAACCTGTCGTCAAACCTGTCCCTTCATTTGCGAAACCTCAACTGATTCGCACAAGCAAAGGAGATTTCGCAAGCGTGCAATAGAACACGTACTGCGACATATGTTTCATATACGTGTTGATTAAGATCCTACCCGTCTTGAGGCTATAAGGCGCGATTTCTTGGCACGCGCAAAGTTAGATGTATATCTCATCACGCACCCCCCCCCCCCAATTGTTTTCACAAGGGCTGCCAAAAAATGTGGCTCGAAATCGGGCCCTCAACTCAAAACCCTTTAAGTATGAACCCTACCTAGACCAACCTAGACCGGTCAAAAAATAACAGAGAGAACATGACAACGTATTCCCTTTTGGAGGGTTGCATTGGCTACTCTTGGAAGACCCGAAGCTATGTCTGTCTTGTGCAAGGTCCCTCACTGCCAACTGCAACAGACACCCACTAAGGCTGTCACCTCTCTCACCGTGTTCTTCTTGATGTAGTCAGGCCTTGCTTGGAAGGGCTCTGGCGGTTTAGGGTTTATAGGGTTTAGGGTTTAGGGCAGGAGATGCCCCTAGAAACCTCGTATTAGGGCTGCTCATGGTAGACCTGCCTAGCGGGACCTGTGTGCGCTTAACAAAAAGATTGTGTGGCATCTGAATGTTACGGTGTATAAGGGAACTATCAGTCAATCCAAGCCCCTCCTGAAAGCAACAGTTACCGCATAGGCCCAGATACCCAACCAGTAGGTTCTGCTGGTAAGTAAGGAAGTAAGTAAGCAAACAGCATACCATTTATGGGCTAATGAAAAGTAAGCCATGCGAAAGGTAGTAACCAAGCCTCCGTCAAAACAGGGCGCACGTACTCATAGTCTCCAAGCGGCAATTGCTGAGAGCCCTCTCTGCTCTCGATGTTGTCGACCCACTGCTGCAGATACAGATATCTGGCCCACAGCGGCTGCCACATTAAGTCAAACTCGTGTATGGTCCAGAGGTCCTGCTTGCTCAGGACTTTGGCAACTTTCCACCACAAGTGCTCTACAATGAAGAGCATCTCCTCACCAGTTCTATGAGCTTGGGTGGCGAAAGTTAGGGGTCCATTTCAAGAATCCCTATAGTCAAGACTATAAGAATGTACTGAATCTACTACACTAAAACAAATGGCCACAGGAAAATCTACCGTGTCCTTGAGGGGACAATGGGTACATGCCCTAACAATACCTGTATATTCCATGGATCAAAGGCAGCCTCACAACCTTTTGGGGTCGACAAGATTTGAAGCTTTCCCAAAATTAGGGGTGCATTTTTGGGGGTCCCAATAGTATAGACTTTAGTATTTTTGGGTTTATGTTGGGGTCCCCCTACTTTGGGACACTACCT